CGGTCAGTTTCAGCAGCGGCTGAATCTGGACGCCAGTTCCGACTTACATACAGATTCAACTTAAGAACAAACCTACAGTCCCTATCTTGTACGTAACCCGGGGACTGCCTGTATATTGAAAAGCTGTTGCACTGAAAAAACCACATGCAGGAAATCAGGGTTAACATGACGTGAGGACTTAATTCTACATTGGAAAGAAGAGACCTGGCTAAACCTTGTTGTCTTATCTGTGCTATATTTGTGTAAACTGGCCTTGTATTTCAGAACACTGAATAGGAGACAAGATATGTCAAAAGCTGAGGCTGCAGTCTCTCCCCGATGAGGCACAAAAAGAACAAACCAATAGTTAAATTCTCCCAAAGTCCTTTAACAGTTTTGCAGCAGATCCTAGCAGTTCTGAAATTAGGATGTTTCATTTATTACTCAGTCTAGCTCTAGTGGGAAGCAGGGAATGGTGTCTGGGAATCTCCCCTTTCAAAGCCCTTCTGATGCATAAACACAATCCAAGCAATTCTTCTGTACCTTTTTCAGTTCATTGGTTGGATTCCGTCATTCCCTTCAACGGCAAGAGGCTTATATGTGCTTCTGTACAAAGTTCAGAACTGTTGCTCTGTCAATGAATTAGTGCTGCAATGTGTGGCAGCCTGTTGGGACTCTCTGACTGTTGGCAGGAGTAAAAATGGGCTATTGGGGGGCCCTTCTGGGAGGGTATATCTAGCCTTAATAAAACTATTTGAGCTAGAGCAACTATTTGGCAGTGAGGTGGTGGTGTGGTGCAGATATGTATGTAACGTCCTAGGGCTGCCTCTGGGACAGGCAGCTCACTTGTTTCCACTGCAGCTTTATCTCTTTCAGCCAGCCAGGTTAAGGTTAAGTTGTTTGTTCCTGACATGTCTGCGTGAAGTGATAAATGGAATGTGGCTAGGAAGGCTAAATTGCACAGGCCCGTAATGTGCAGGAGGGGCTGTCTGGAGTGTATTTGTAAGGCTGGGTCACATGCTCTGATCTGAAGTATGTCAAAGGCTTAGATGTTGCTGCATCAATGCTCCAAACTGACCAGAACTGCTCCTGTCTCATCCAGTAGCCTCAGTTTAGGGCTGGGCAGAGACAGCCCATGGTGCTGAACGATATCTTGACCATCCATAGCTCTTTCTCTCGTACGCCATAGCATATTTGCAAAATCCATTGAACTTTTAAAATATCAAGACCAAAAAAGTCGGGTCTGCTGTAGCCCTACCAACATGCCTTTGGTGTAAATGACCCGCCATATTTTGTTTTGCAGTAATGGATTCACATGCTGAGTAAACCGAATGTCCTCTGTGTTACTGTCCTTGGGGTATCCCTTTTTCTAACAGCCATTCTACACAGTGAATATCTGAATGCCTTTCAGTCTCCGTGCCCTGGGATGCAGAGAAGTAATAAAGTGCCATTTTATTGATGAGGAGATCTGGGGTAGTAGAGCTGAAATTGACCGTAGAGTTTTTAATCAGGAGACTGTCCTTTTATCTGTGCCAAATGGTTTGACTCAGGAGGACACAACCCGTTGTCATGTTTACCTCATTTTAGTTTACATAAGCGTGTAAATAGACAATACTGTGCACATAGAACCAACCTATCTAAATATGTACAAAGCAAGCAGAATGTAAAATATAAATCAATACAGTGACTTCCAATCTTATTAAAATGTATAGAATCAGCTTGGCACCCACAAGATTGTGCTTAGGTGTATGTGGCCCTTCTGTGTAATAAGGTTGGGTGCCCTGGCTGACTCCTCTCTTTATTTCTCCCACCACCCCTTGTCATCCTTTCCCCTTGGAATCTGCAGCTGGAATAACTCTTTCTTCTTATTATTTCCAGAAATGTCTTCCTTGCCAGACTTGGGGCTGTTCACGATGGGGATGTGGTCTGTCGGCCTTGGAGCTATTGGCGTAGCTGTGACGGGGATGCTTCTTGCTAACACTGACTTGTTTCTCTCCAAACCGAAGGCAGCCTCGTTGGAGTTTTTAGAGACAATTGAGCTAAAATCTCTGGGAGAAGGTAAGAATTGGATTCCTCTAGAAATCCGAGCTCACATTATACAGCAATGAAATTTATCGTGTAGAGCTAATCTTACTGTTTAAGGCCAGGGTTGAAAACCAAGATACAAGGAGAGTGTGTTTGTAAGAGTGAGTTGTTCTAGGCTATAAGTTCAACAAGGGAACCAAACCACTCTACTCTTGTTTTTTCCTGCTTCTGTAACTGTTGGGGGAAGTAGCTGACACTTTTTGAGAAGGGGAAGATGGGGTTAAAGTGAGAAACTTCACTGAAAAAATAAGTTGCGTATAATTTTGAGAATTGTGGTGTCAAGTGAATGGCTGCCAGATGAATGATGATACCCAGTTCTTATTTAGCACTTTTCATACATAGATCTCAAAGCTCTTTACAAAAGAGGCCAGTATTATTACCTCCATTTTACAGAGAGAGAAATTGAGGCACAGAGAGGTGAAGTGACTTGCCCGCATTCAACTGGCTGGCAGAGCTGGGAATAGAACCAGGTCTCCTGAATCCCATCCAGGGCTCTCTCCAGTAAGCCATGTGGCCTCCAATATAGTTTTGTGGTTCTGTGTTGCCTTTTGCAGACTTCTCTACTTGCTGAAGATCATTCGTCTTGGCAGCTAGATAATTTTTCTGCCTAATACACACACAACTTTTATTTCCTGTTGATTTGTTGCTTATTTCACAGAGAGCACTTTTTTCTAGTCTGTCTCAGCCATCACATGCTGCGTGGTAGGAGCGAAAGGATGAAAACAGACACAGAAAAAATGTAAACAAAAAATTAAAAACCTTCCCCCAAGGTGATACGCAATTTAATTCTGTTCATATGTGAAATCCAATCAAAAACCCAAAATAAGGTGGAGAATTGTGTAAGTGTGCGAGGTCACATGCAGGATTCATTAGAGGTTAAAACAGAATATGCCTCTTCAGGGTTTTCACTATCTAATATTTCCTGTTACAGCAGGGTGAAGTGGGTGGAAAACTGAAATGAAACTATTGACATCTAATCAACATATGTACACAGAGGGACAGAAGCGGATCTTTTGTGCTTCAGAAGGAAGCGTCATTGTGGTGTATAAGTTGTAATATCCAGACATAAGGTCAGCTGGAGGCTGCCTGATGGTTAAAGCAGGGGATGGAAAGTGACGGATTTTGGCAGAGCTGGGAACTGACTCCCATATGCAAAACAAGGAATAACAATTTATACGTGTCTTTGTGAGGTGCTATAAATTCTGGGATTTTGATAAAAATGGACTCTTGGTTTTTTACATTGAGTTGGAATTCAAATGCACTTTGAAAAACCTCCCCCTCTGTTCTGAATAAAATATAAATGCATATGGAATGCTGAACTGGGAAGTTTTCATCAAGCTTAGCATTGTTCATCAGACATCCTAGTAATGTAAATAGATGCCATAATTCATGCTATTTCTCCCGTCTGAGCAGAAGAAAGAACTTTCAAGGCAGGTGAGCTATGGAAGAAGAATGGGGCAGTGATCATGGCTGTGCGGAGACCAGGATGCTTTTTGTGCAGAGAGGTACTGTGATTGGAAAATGAACGTTGCTTTATCTGTGTCCCCCCTTGTCGATATCATGGGCTAGATTGCCAGCTGGTGTAAATCAGTAGATATCCTTTAGCTGTGATGGGGTTATGTTGATTCATTCTGCATGACAATTTGGCTCCACAAATCCAAAATAAACTTGGATGGGTAGGTACACTGTGGTCAAGAGAAGCACATACATGGATTAGCATGAATTTTTCAGGTACAGTCCATTGACGCAGTAGCATTGGCAGGAGACAAACACGTTATCACCAATTTGCTCCAGTAGGTGTTTCATTTTCTGGACATGAAAATCATTCTTTCAAAGGGAGGAAGGAAGAGCCTGCTGTTCCCACATAGACAATCTGCTCAGTACTCTACTTTGTGTTTCAATCACTTAGGATATTTCCACCATAACAATTATGTTGTTACTCACCTGTTAATAAAACAGAGCAATTAGGCTAGCAACCACTTAATTATAGGATCTTCATAATCCCTGCACCACATAATATTAAAAAGCATCGTACTAGGGCGGTCAAGCAATTAAAATTAATCACGATTAATTGCGCTGTTAAACGAAATTAAGACTCTAACTGTCCCTGGGCTCTGCGTTGCACTGCCCCTTTGAAATGCCGCCACAGCGTTTCAAAGGGGCAGCGCTGCAGAAACGCCTCCGATCAACGTGCGTTAAAAAAATTAACACATTCATTTCTGCTCTGCGTTAATCGCAGGTGTTAAGATGCGTTAATTGACAGCCCTACATCGTACACCTCTGTGAATTTAATTCTCCTGGACAGAGCAAGACTGAAATCCTGTGATCACGAAAAGGGTAGCATGTAGATTGGGGCAGAGAAAGCCCCTTCCCTTTGTCCCCCCCCCCCATGCCCACTGTCTCACTAGTGGAATTCAATTTTGTCCTGGGGGGGAGCCACCACTAGGGCAACGATTCTGTGTCACCTGCGGGGGGGTCTATTTTCAAAGACCTAAAGGGCAGCCTAGGGGCACACAGCTCCCTCTGACTTGTGCTTTTGAGAATCTCTTAGTTAACTTTTGCCTCTCTGCTGAGCCTGCCAGCCTAAGCAGACATGGTGGTGGTGTGCGGAAAAGAGGTGGCTAGCTGTCCGTGAGCTGTCTGTGAGCCATTTGCTTCACTCAGGTGGCAAGATGTGTGCCATCAGATGGCAACAGCATGGATTGACACTATGGGTCTCCTCTCCAGAGGTGGCACCCACAAATTCCATTGCCACTGGTGCTCTGAGAATCAGGCCATGTGAACTTAGCATAGAGTTGAGCCAATGACCTCGAGGGGAAGAAAAGCTCTGTATCTTCCCCTAAAGCGACCAGTCCCATTCGTTAAGCATTCTTCACTGTCATCACGTGTACTTCCTTTAACTAAGTTTTAATATGACTCTTAAAAATATCTATGTAAAGTTGGGGCAGGGAAAAGTTGCCAGTGTAGCAGGAAAACTCTGTGACCAGAGTCTAGTCCACTTGGTCTCTTCTGGTTTTTTTTTACCTTTTATGGTTCTGACGGGGCAGTGGGGAGGGACTTACCTTTGAGATGGACATGGAAGAGAAAACACTGGTCAACTATTGGTTTGGCTAATGGCTATCTAGTAATGGAAGTGGGCAAAAAGACCATAGACTATGTTACAAATGTTCCCTGTGCCCTGAATAAGGGGTGGAGTATGGCTGCTGCAGAGCCCCGTAAGCTGACCAGGGAGGGAACTGTAGGTGGACTGACTTGTCTTGAAGGGGGCCACGTCACAAATTTTGGAAGTGGTCGTGGACCTCAGGCAGAAGGGGTGGGGCCTCGGGCAGAAGAGGGCTGTTCCCTCTAGGTGCGGCCCACCCCTGGTGGGGGGAGGAGACTTCATGTGCTCTCCTGCCCCCACAGACCCTGATTGACCTGGGGGCAGGGGAGCATGTGAAGTTTTTGTTCCCGTCCTGCCAGGGCGACTCTAGCCGCCACGTGCCCCTGGTGGGGGAGGAGACTTGGCGCGTTCCCCATGCCCGGGTCTTGATTGGTCTGGGGGCGGGGGAGTGGCAGAGCTGCCGCAGGCTGGAGCAAGTGGCTTGGCTGGCTGGATGCTGTCAACAAAAAAATCCCGGCTGCCGGGGCCCCATCGAAATGGTTCGAATTGGGCCCCACACTTCATAAAGCCAGCCCTGTTTCCTGGGACATAAATAAGGATAAAGCAGCCCCATGACATTCAGGCTACATCTACACTGCACATCAATTTAGAAATAAGCTATTCCGGAAATAGTTATTCCAAAATAGCTTGTTTCGAAATAGCACATCTACACTGCAGGGAAGCCTCAAAATTAGTCCAAGGCAGGCTTCCCTAATGTAGACGTGCTATCTCGATTTAGAGCCCCAGGAGGCACTGGGGAGGAATAACTTAGACTAGCCATGGTGAGAGGCTTCCGCAGACCATGGGCTTGCAAAGTTCTGGTGGTGTCCTGTTGTCTTGGTGTCCAAAGAGAGGAAACAATTTCTTGGTGTGCATTAAAGGAAATAACCCATTTTTGCCTTCTTCCTTGTGTAATAAGAGCTGCATTGCACCCTCTGACCTGCAGCATGCAAAAGGCACATGAATGCCTCTTCACCATTTTGCAGGTGGAGAAACTGAGGCATGGAGCTGTAAAGTGACTTGCACGCACTGGCCATATTGTCACTAGAAAAGAATGTGTGTGTTTAACACATGCTAAAGTCCTAGCATGCACAAGGCAAGCTATAGTTTTAATTAAAACTTTTGTTTGAGCCTTTGCTAGGATTTTAGCAAGTTCATGCTTAAAATGATACCCCTTCCCTAGGGAAGTCAGCCCCAATAAGGGGTACTGTGAATGAAGGTGTGACGGGGTGCAGTCACAGAGGACCCCATGGGGGTGCTGACAAGGCCACTGCCACTCGCCTTCCTGCTTTCTGGGGTTTCTCCCCACCTGTCCTGCTGGGCCAACTCCCTGGTATCCACCAGTCAAGGCACAGAGCTGAGATTCCCTCTCCCTCCCGCCCCAGGAGCACTACAGACACTGAAACACTTCTGCCTAAGTGGCTGCATGCCATATGTTAAGTCTTCCATGCGTCCATCCAGTGCTTAAACCTGGCGTCACACTCATTGTCTTCTAGGAGGCTTCTGAGCTTTCTTCTCTCAAATCTCAGCTTGACCAGTTTGGTGTCCCCCTCTATGCTGTTGTGAAAGAAAATATTGGGAATGAAGTGGAGGATTTTCAGCATTATTTCAAAGGGGAAATATTTCTGGATGAAAAGGTATGTTTGGATTGCACTCTTTGTTCTAAGCAAGACTTATGCATGAGTCTTGGCTTGAGTCAGCCTCTGTATCCACCAAACCTGTTCAAGCAATCTGAACAGTGTGGCTTGAATGGAACTTGGGTATCTGGAAACTGATTTAATAGTGCTTTGTAGCTTAAGAAGTTAATCGGCTTAGATTTTCTATATATATGTTTGCTCAGTTTATAAGCTAAGTTATCTTATTGCTGTGTACTGTTGACATGTTCTTGCATGATTCTTTTCCCCTACACACCTAAACAGACTGTAAGATCTTGTCTTGCACTGTCTGTTTAATCATCCTGGTACTAAAACAAAGGACTAAAAATAAAATAGAAGGGTGTGATAAGTTCATTAGCTGCGCTGCAGCTAATACAGAGAACAAGAAATGTTAGCAATATAACTGCTTGTTGCTATGTTTACTGAAACACTTCTGCTGTTGCCAACCCCGAAAGGTCAGAAACCATGTGTCACAACCTCAGAATCCTGAGGTGAGTTTAGAAATTGTGATATATGATTCTTTTATTTGTCTTTTATTGTTTTGGGACTGTGGAGGCATGAAAAGGGAATAAGGGAATTTGTGTGCAGCCATCTTGGTCTTGTTAACAAGAGAGCAAGAGTCAGGCTAAGTCTGTGGCCTGACAACGCGAGATCTGTAATTAGACGCTGCCTTTGCCTCTCGCCTCTATACGGAGATAAGGATAGAATGCTGACTCTGGCAGGGACCTTGAGATAAGGAGCATCTGGGTGGAACTAAATAACTGTTAACCATTGGTGTTTGTAATGGGAAGGAGACTAATTGTTATTGTTATTATATCTAATAGACAGTATATAAACTGCTTTATAATTGCTTGTATTCGAAGATCTGCCTCGGTGAGGGGGGGGGACTCCCCCCTGTCCAAACCAGTTTTTGCCTTGCTGCAGCTCGTAATAAAACTGCCTCTGGCTACTTGTTGCTTACAAACTCAGAGTGAGGACAATGTTTTCTTCCACAGGACCTTTCGGAGTCATACTCTCCATCGCAAGTCTAGGAGAAGTCTCGTAAGCGAAAGCTCGGGTTGTTTCAAATGCATGATTCCAAAAGCAGGGACTTTAGGATAAACCAATTAATAGCAATCATGGTGATAAATGGTGGAAGATGGCACCCTTTTAAAAAAGGGTGGTCCCTTTTCTCCAGTGGATGAAAAAAGCCAAGCTATTCTAGCAGGAGTTCTGTCCAGTAGTTCAAAACAAACTTGTTCATTTAAAAACAGGCTGCAGCTGTCAGGATGTCCAGGAAGTGAATATAGTAGGTTGATCAGGTCCATAAATCTTGAATAGCAATAACAAAAAAAATGGCAATAAAAAAAATAGAGTAGGTGACCTCTTGTTGTGTTAACGGAACTTCTGTCCTGATAAGATTACAGTAATTACTCGTTTAACACGTACCCGCTTAACACGTTTTCGCAATAGCACGATTTTTTTTTTTAGGGAATGTTTTTCGAATAACACGACTGTCCCCGAAATAACACGAAAATAATCAAATGGCAGACTACTTCATGTGATGGTATAAGTTGGTGAAAACAGTGATAATACACACGAGTGGATGAATACACGTGGTCACCGTGCTCCTTTGCTCATTCACATGTTTATCTTTGTGTTTTAACAAACCGCAGCAACTTGTGTTGATAGTTATCCTGTGTTGCTACATATCTAATGTTGTCGTTGATGACCCAGCACCAACAAAAAATTGACTTTGCCACCAACACCAGAAATGCAACCCCCACCTTTTCCATTATTTTTAATGGGAAAATTGACCCCACTTAGCACGAACATTTTCAGAAACGCATCTATAGTGTTAAATGAGGAATTACTGTACTAAAGGCATCATTCGGTCCTATAGATCCAAATGTGACCTGTTAGAAACCATTCTGGATGCAGAGGCTGGCTGCCTTGATTACAGTTAGGATAATTGCTTCAGTCATTGTTATGCCTCGTGTAATGAGTTTTCTTTTGTGTCCTTCTACAGAAAAGGTTCTATGGTCCTCACAAGCGAAAAATGGTGCTGATGGGTTTTATCCGCTTAGGAGTCTGGCAGAACTTCCTTCGTGCTTGGAAGAATGGCTACAGTGGTAACCTGGAAGGAGAGGGGTTTATCTTGGGAGGAGTTTATGTGATTGGTGCTGGGAAGCAGGTACTGCATGGCTTTGAGGAGTTCTTTTTCCCCTTCCTCCCTGTTTCTCTTCAGTTTCTTCCAAGATCCTCTGAAATCCCGAAGGCCTCCTGCTTTAGTCATTTATTCTTAGAACCACATAACAAGTCAGTGATTTCTGCCCTGCATTGTGTTTTAGTTGTGAGCTTGGGACATCTCTTGTCTTGTGCAGTGCAGTGATGTTCACCAAACAGCTTCCAATATCTGACACTTCCAATGTCTGGCCTTGCCATTGAAAACAATCTCTTATAGTCACTTCCAAACGTTCAAACACATACCCATTAAGGAGATTTCTCATATGCTGCTCTCCATTGATGAGCTCCCATTGTCTTAAAAAATCACATTTGATGGTTCGCATACATTTCTGCTCAGCTCGTGGATGTGCACCTAGTACCGACTTTTCATTTTTAACTTAAAAATGTGGGGTGTTTTTTTGCATCAAATAAATGATCTCCCATTACTGGCTATGATGTGTGTGGCTGTGAGAAAACTCTGTCCTAAATAACGTTGCTATCTGTTCATGTTCTTAAAGATTTCATTGATTCAAATCAAATGTGTGGAAAATATCAGTACACATTTTAAATAGCCACCCTCGGTTTGTTTAAAAAACACTATAGTTCAGTGTACCTAAAAGATGGGCTTGGTCTGGATCTAGCTTCCAGCAAATTTTGGGAAAAATCAGCTCTCGGTTCAACTTGGAGTACATCTTTAAATAGAATATCCTAAAGACTTACCCTATTGTGTGACCTGAGCAAATTGTTTTGCAAAACAAAGTGCATGGAGAAAAATATGTAGCAAATTTCATAAATTGTGATTTTTAAAAGGCAAAAACCTCGGACTTAAATTTCCAAAGGTGCCATGAGAGCATCTTCTAAAAATTAAGCTGCCTTTAAATTGTCTCAAGTTGGGCACCCAAAAAATCATGAGTTACCTTTTTGAAATTGAGTCTTTGGTAACTGATATTGTCAAGAAACATTTGTTTGTTCGGAAATTACACCGCTCATCAAAGCACGATTTAGAGTGGGGGGGAGAGGCATCCGTTTTGAAAATGCTAAAGACTGGGTGCTGTGGTGGTATAAATAATTTACTTAAGTACACAAGAAATGTATATATACAGTCTGCAGGCAGTATGGAACTTCTAATTTCCTCATTTAACCAAGCAGCTTAGAACCTAACGATACTTCTGGGGCCTTGAGCAGGTTACGTACATTTATATTTGCACTAATTTTCCTGAGATGGAAGCAAGAGTGTACTGTAAGAAGTGTTTATCTGGTTTATAGGGAAATACCACAACATGTATCCTTGCATAATATGTGCCGTAACGTAAGTAATAATGGGAAAACTCATGTATTTGTTGGACAGGGCCAGATTAAGGGGGGGGTGGGTTGCCGGGCAGCTGCCCAGGGCACCAACCTATGGGGGGCTCCTGATGGCAGCTCTAAGGGGCACCACGTGCCCAGCCTCACAGCGCCCCTTAGAGCTGCAATCAGGCGCTGCACGTCCGGGGCCAGGGGCCGCATGGTGCCCCTTACAGCTGCAATCAGGCACCGTGTGCCCAATTGCAGCTGTAAGGTGCACAGCGCGGGGGGGCGGGGCTGCGCATGCGCCATGCGCCCAGGGGCGGAGCCGCGCATAGTCGCGCACTCGCTGCCCGCGGCGCAGGAATGGCTCGAGTCAGCCCTGTTGTTGGGGTGACTTGAGTAATCCTGTATTTGAGAAATTCGATCATATCATCTTCCACTCCCCCTTCTTTCTCATTCAGATTGAAAGTGAAAAGCAACATTTTTGAGTTTGTAAATGTTGTGTTCTATTTAAATATGTATGCCATATAAAAAAGGAATCACTGCACATTTTTCCTTTTCCTCTCCCTAGGGTGTTCTCTTGGAACATCGAGAGAGAGAATTTGGAGACAAAGTGAGCCTTCAGTCAGTCCTCGAAGCTGCTGAGAAGATAAAACCACAGGCTGCAGATGCCGAAAAATAGTTACACATGTTCAGTCTTGGCTGGAATATGTAGAACTTGTCTGTATGTGAACATGCAGCATAATTGCTTTCTTTTAGACTATTCCGTAACAGCTCAGCTGGAGGATTCTCCCTGATATTAGTCAACAAATGAACAACCTCCTTGATGGTAGCTGACTTGTTTGTGCTTTGTAACCCCTCAGGCACCCACTGTTTCTACTAGTCTTACCGCATTAATGAAATGTTGGTCTTAAAATCTTAAGGCATAGCCTAGACGGGTCCTGTTAGAGCCAGAAAGGTAGAGGCTGTCTGGGGAGTAGAACATTGATAAGGAGGAGGAAGTGAGATTGAAAGGTAATAAAAAAACATGAATTAAACTTCTTGGTTTTCAATTTTCTAATTTTATTACAATATTTGGAAGCCTCTGTGTTTCTCTCCCATCTGCTTGCACGGAGACACATGTCTGATTGTTACAGTTTTTACATTTGGGCTGTGTCTACACTGGCAAATTATTTCAGAAAATCAGCCGCTTTTCCGGAAAAACTTGCCAGCTGTCTACACTGGCCTCTTGAATTTCCGGAAAAGCACTGATGATCTAATGTAAAATCATCAGTGCTTTTCCGGAAAAATTATACTGCTCCTGTTCGGGCAAAAGTCTTTTTCGAGAAAACTGTTCCGGGAAAAGGCCAGTGTAGACAGCTCAGATTTGTTTTCCGCAAAAAAGCCCCAATCGCGAAAATGACGATCGGGGCTTTTTTGCGGAAAAGCGTGTCTAGATTGGCGACGGACGCTTTTCCGGAAAAAGTGCTTTTCCAGAAAAACGTCCTGCAAATCTAGACGCGCTTTTCCGGAAATACTTTTAATGGAAAACCTTTTCCGTTAAAAGCATTTCCGGAAAATCATGCCAGTGTAGACGGAGCCATGGGGTCCAGTCCCATTCCCTTTGAGTCCAGTGGTAATTCTGCCATTGGCGTTGGTTGGAGGAAGATGGTGCCTTTTATGCATCAGGTTCTGATTAGTAAGGGAAATTAAAAGTCAGTATCAGGCTGTGTATTTAAAAGGTGACTACAAGGTGGGACGTGCCTATTAATAAGTGATGTAAGGATCCTAAATGCAGCAGTGAATAAGAAGTGCATATCAGCTAGCCCTGGTGAAACATGTCAACACAGCAACAGGGCTGCTGGCATGCTTTCCTGTAATATCTAGAGGTGGACCAGCCAGTAGGATACATTGAGATACAGTACCAAGTACAGCCAAATAACTACATCTAGCTGTATGTTGTTAAAAGGCCTGTTCTGGAGAGCAGGGGAGAGGAATTAATTGCCTTTGGGGAAATTAAGGGCTTGAGTTTTTCAGAGATACTGAGAACTCAAAATGGAAAATTTTAACAGGGAGGAAGGGGTAGTTAAAAATTGGAACAGCTCAGCAAGGGATAGGGCAGATTATCCATCACTTGGACTCTTTAGAATTAAGACTAGATCTCTCTTAAGAGATCACTCTTAAAAGTGATGGTGTTGTCCCTTCACAACTTACTGGACTAATGCAAAAATTAGTGGGTGCAAATCTATGTCCTGTCTTTATGCAGAAGATTGGCCTAGATAATCATAATGATTTTTTCTGGCCTTAAAATCTATGAACCGTAACTCCATTGACTTCAATGGAGGAGTGGATACTTAACAGCTCTGAAAACAGAGGCTTGAATTTGACTGGCAGGTGTCACTCTTGCTGCCTGCCTGTATGCCAGTATTTCTTTAAAAAAAAAATTGTCAGCTCAGTGGAGAGAGATCTATTCTTCTCTCTCCATGACAGCTAAAAAAGGCAGTTGCAAAGAAATCTAAAATTCCCCAACCATTTTAACCTACTATTAGAACATCTGGATTATCTAAATTTGCACAGTATTTAAATGACACTCCCCAGGACTCTTTAAAAATAAATAAACAACTCTTCAGTCCAGAGAGAGAATCATTTTGACAAAACCTGTGTCCCTACCCACCTTTCTTTGTTTCTCCTCTGCGAAAATGAGCCTATAGCATCTAACATTTGATACTCATGTTTACTAATAGGTTTGATCTGAAAGCTGTACTCTGCCATCGTTTTGAAATTTGGTTTTTTCTGTCCTTTGTGTGGGGTCCAAAAGCAGCACAGCTTCTACATCAGCTTGTCATCTCATTTGACCTTATCCTGTCTGACCCGGCCTAATAGGTGAACTCAGTGAGTGAGGCTGTGATGTGCTTCTTGCAGTCAGTTTCCAATTTAAAAAGCAACTGTGGATGCTTTGGATAGGGGCAGTGATATTGTTAGAGGAGCAGCCCATGTCTGATTCGGGTCTATTAAAATGTCACGGATACATCTGTGTACAAGCAGCTTGCTCTTAGCCCTGTTCAGCCTCCTGCAGAGCAAGTAAATTGTTCTTGCCCACGTTCCTGCCTTTCTTCAAGAAACTGCCCAGACTCTTTTACATCTTAGGTAAATCTACACTCGGTTAATGTACAGATTTTACTATTTCGGTTAGTGTGAGTGTCCTAAACCAGTTCACCTTCCAAGTAGGAGTATAGTTAGATCAGCATAAAGGTGCCTTGTGGGAATAAGTATAGCAGCATAATTTAGAGAGAAATTATGCTGGTATAAGTACCTTCATGTCACTATAACTAAATCCATTGTAGCATTGTAATACATTGATCTAGTTAAGTTACACTTTCCTGTGTAAATAAGCTGTTAGATTGGGCTGAAGAAAAATTCTAGTGCTTTTGTAGCCCATCCTACCAGGACATAGGCCTGTGACCCCCTCTAGTGGTTATACCATGTGAGAGGTTTTAAGTGTGCTGCTGACTCCAACATAATGGACCTTCTGGCTCTCTTGGCAAAGGAGGAGCCATGCTTTTAAATTCAAAGGTCAGCGGTTCAACCCTTGCTTGGCCTATCCCAAGTCGCTGTTACTCTTTCATCTAGGGTACGTCTAGACTACAGGCTTTTGTCGACAGAAGTTTTGTTGACAGATACCGTCGACAAAATTTCTGTCGACAAAGAGCATCTACACTACATTCAGTTCTGTCGACAAAGCAAGCTGCTTTGTCGACATGGTAGTGTAGATGCAAAGGACAGTTTACATGCAATAACACCTTCTGTCGACAGAACTCTGTCGACAGAAGGCGTTATGCCTCGTAAAATGAGGTTTACCAGCGTCGACAAAACTGCTGAGTTCTGTCGACAGAACTCAGCGGTAGTGTGGACGCAGGTATAGTTTTGTCGACAAAAGTCCACTTTTGTCAACAAAACCCTGTAGTCTAGACACACCCCTAGTTCTTCTGCCATCCAGTGGGGGTAAGGAAACAGACAGGAAGCCATCTTTCATCCTGTCCCACTTCAGGCTTAAAATGCTTAGCCATTGCATAAAGGGCATTCTAAGTATCCCATTACCCTGTCCAGCCAGGTTATCTAAGACCATGCACCTCAAAAGGCCCTGTGCAATGTTTCAGCTGCTTTCTCAAGGACCGGAGCCACCGGAGAGGCTGTCAAGCCCTCTTGCACTAAGGGCAGGCACAGCATGTGTAGACTCCCCAAGAGATGCCTGCGGCTGGAGAAGGAAAAGAATGTTTGAATCGGAATGTTCCCTGCCCCTGAGCGTGCCAGTTGGATACGAGCAGTTATGGGGCTGGTGGAGATGTGACGTTTTGCTTGACGCCTGAGACTCTAAAGTCACGTGGGTATATCAGCGCCTCAGTTTTCTTTCTCAGTGGTTTTAAATGTAAGTTTCCGGTTGCTCCTGGTTGCAGAGAGGAACTAAAAAATTTGGAAGCCTAACGGTAACAAAAACAAAGCAATCTTGAGGCCTTCCTTTTTTGAGCCTGTGGCAGTAGTGAAGAAAGAGGACTGAAGAAAAAACCCCTAGTAAAAGCTCCAGACCAAAGAGAAACAGGAAATAAGTCATGAAGAAGGAATTATAATAGGAATTTGGATGAAGTGTGTGAAGCAGTCTCTAAAGCCAGGTCTACACTCGACTCGGCAGGTCGGCTTAAGGAACGCAACTCTAGTTACACAAAATGCATAGCTGGAGTCAGCTTTTCATAAGCTGAGCCACTGCGGGACCCCAATGGGAGCAAATGTTCCTGTCAGCTTCCCTTGCTCTTCGCAAAAGGAGGCGTACCGAACACCGGCGGGAGCTGCCCTCAGCGTTCGATTTACAGGCCTATACTAGACCTGCTAAATCTAATGCCAGAAGATTGACGTCTGGAGCGTTGCTATCCCAGTAATGATAGACATGCCATAAGAGACTCTGCATGTGATCTCCAGATTGCAAAGGAAAAACAAACTTATGTGGAATGATAACAGAGAAGATAGTGAACCTGCCTCACTGCAAAGTGAGGGAGGGGTAGTTTGAATAGTTGCTTTATCACAATATTCTTTACTAAATGTAAAAGTTCAATGTATTTTTCCCATTGTGATTAGCTGCTGTGTTGATGGCTGCAGTGCAGCAGCAGCTTCTTAAATGTACTTCATTTGTTCTCTCCTTTTTAATAAATAGGTACGCAAAGTCTGAATGACTCCTTTAAAGAGACTTCCTCAACTTTTAGATCACGTTGGTCTGGAGATTGTTTACCTACTTTACCATAGGCCTGTCTTCTAATTAAAATGACAATCACTAGAAGAGAATAGAAAGCAAATTCTAGTTTTTCAGTTAGTTTATTACTCTGTGCTTGTGAAAGAGAGCAATTTGCATAAGGCCTATTTCACTACAGCCATTTCCCCCTTGTCTGGGGGGAGGGGTTTGTTTCTGTTCTTTTCTTTCTCCACGTGCAAATATGAACACGCTTTTAAACAACAGGATAATGTGGTCAAATCATCAAATTACCAAGGAGATTTTGGGGCAGATGTTAGTAACTAAAACTGCTTTTTAACTCCTTCTTTTACAAATGTTGGTGTAGATCTGAGCTCTACAGCATCCCTTAGAGTCAGCTAGTAAAATTATCACCTGACAGGATCTTTTCTGTTTATTTCCTATGCTGTGCTTTCTGTTTCACTTTGTCGGTCACGTGTTCTTGTTGCTATGAATCCATCTGCAATTGGTGCCTTTTACACGGGCTTTGGAGGACAGGGTGGCTGAACTGGAGGAGCTAAGGGAGGTAGAGAGCTATGTTGATGAGACTTTCCGGGACACTGTAGTACTGTCCCACCTCCAGTCTGAGAGCCCCAGTGTTCTTAAGGAGGATGAAAGTCTCAAGGGAACAGAGCATTCAATGGGACCCTCCTCCCAGAGGATGTTGCGGTATCCTCTTGCACTGAGGATACCTCTGATGGGGAGGGAATGCCAGCTAGGAAGAGGCAGGTGTTAGTAGTGGGTGATTCGGTCATTAGAAACATGGATAGTTGGGTTTGTGAT